CATCTTCTCTTTCATCTTCTTTCTCGCTTCTTCTTCTTTCTGCTTTTTCTTAGTTTCTCTTTCCTTCTTCTTCTCTGCCAGCCTGCGGTCAATCTCCACTTGTTCCGCAGGTGTGGGGCCTGGCTTCACTGTCCCGGATCGCATCAACATGCGGGACGTACACACACGTCCGAACCCCAATGGCAACATTAACCGAAACAGCGGCCCCAACAGGACAGAGAGGGCCAATAGGCCCTGGATGGGATAGTCATCCATGGTGAAGGTCGGCACAGGAGGCCCTCCGCCGGCTCACCACATCACTATCCCACTCTAACTTTACTGAGTGGCGAATGGAGTACTGTATTTCGTTGTTTTTTTTTCGTTGACTATCGAAGGTGCTGCGTACAACAAACAATCAATCAATCTGAAATCAATACTTGTGCAATGTATATACCTCTTTTTTTTTTCTTTTACAATGCTGTCTGGTTGTCCTGGATCAAACCTCTGCAAGGCGTTACTTGTATCTATACTTCCCTCTATGCTTGATGGTTTATCTAACTGGCTGGTTGTCTGATGCAGGTCTGGAGTACAACGCAGAAAGGTCAGATGCAGATGGTTCACTTATTCAACCAGGCAGAAATATCTTTCGGGCTTAACTGGCCCTGTCAATGCTCATCATCATGTTTGCGTTGCCTGATACTTGCAGTCTGACGTGGCATATAGCCACTTCCCACATCGATTCTTAGTCCCTGATGACGATACGCAGCCTGCCTGTCAAGAGGGGTAGGAGAGAGATTTACTCCTACTCGCAGAACACTGACCACCTAATCTAGTGTGACCAGGCCCTGGCACATTGCATTTGGACCGTCCAGACTCTGACGACTCAGACTCTGATTCACTAGGACGATCCAGATCCAGACTTCGACTACAGACCAGACCAGCAGCAGTCACCTTCAGAGGGTCAAAGAGAGAAAGGGTAGGGGACACACACATACGTGCAGGTTCAGGGAAAGGAGGTGCTTCTCTCTTCTTGAAGATACTGCCGATGATGCACCACGACGCTCCACACGCTCCAGGTAAGTAGACTTCGCCACTTCTTCTTCGGCCTGCCTCCCCCACTATCACAATACTTCTCCTCTTCCTCCCTCCTTCACTTATCCTCCATCACCACATCTTCTCGCCGGCCTTGCTCATGCCAGCGCTATGAGTGCAGCGAGCATCTGCTCCGATACCAAATTTGCATGGGTCCTGAAGACCATCTCACGCAAGTGTGTACCTGTCACGCATCATCCTTGCGCACAACAATCAAGATTCTCACACATTCGAGAAAGATAGATGAGAAGAGAACCGAGTTTCACTGCTTATATTATCAAAATTATGATTACAAAGAGTTTCATAGTTCCCTGAGTCCAGCGCTCAGCAGCGCAATGCAAATCCCTTATCAACTCATCAGCATAACTTCAGCACATCAGTGCTACTTCTACAGATTGTATCCAAGGCATCAAGGAGATCGCCACCCATCAGCGCCACCTCTGCAGCCCACATCCAACTCAGGTAAGTATCTTTCATAGACAAACCTTGATTGAACACTCTCTCTCTGTCT